TTATCAAAAAATGCTACCCGAAAAACAAGACGGTGAAGATGGACGAGACAAGAAGAAAACAATTAAATGATTATAATTATAGGATAGCCAATTACATTAAAAAAATGTAATGTGTGCATTTCAAATTTTATATTAAATATATCTGAATGTCCTAAATGTGTCTTACGAATATTCATTTAACTATTTTTATATAAATTATAATTTATTATACAGTACCTAAAATATTTTAATCTTTTTATATAAAATGCAAGTTAAGCTATTTTGTTTTTGTATTTTCAGTTAGTTATATAAATATTAATTTTTAGCTTAAGCTTAGTTACCTACAATTTGTAGTATTTATTAATTTTGTAAATAAATTTATGTTTTAAATAAAATACTCTATTAAACCAATTTTGATCTCGGATTAATTTGATTCATTTGAGGACCCCAACCACTCCAATTAAACACAAAAACTACATTGAGCTTCAACCGCATCTCAGCAGGAAATATTAGCCACAAAGTGTATCTTAATGATGTTAGTCTAGTTGAGGAGAGAGACGCTTGTCAGGTAGGTATATGAAAAATAAGCATACATAGGGTGTTTCATAAGAATTGGTCAATATTTTAACTGGGTCAAAGATCTTCTGAATGGAGAAAGATGTTATTTTAAAAAGTATAATTGACGGTAATTAAATTTTGAAAATGTATATTTTAATATTTTATCGGGCTTAGGTTAAATTAAACAACTAATTGGGAACTTTAGAATAAACCCTATTATTTTCAGTTTGTAAAACGTATTTCATTTTCGTTAGAAATATATTAATATGTGTATATTTTGAATTTCTGTTGAGTCGGTATTATTAGTTAGATCATTCTTGTTCGAACATTTGACTGACGAGGTTTATTTTTTTAGATTTTCGGATAAATTGTTAGTTTTTTGTTATAAAATATATATTTGTGCAAGTGTTAGTGTATTTTATTGTCATATTTATTGAATGTACCGACTACATGTGAATATAAGCCGTTTTTCCATTAATTTTCAGTGTCCTAGGTAAATATACAAATTTTCTCTTACATTTTGTTACAAACTGGCAAATATTACTTTACATAATGTAACGGCCTACCCCCGGTACCCCCTATTTGTTCGTTATTTTACTCTCTGAGATGTTATTATTTATCTCACAAGTTTATTTTATTTTATACTTAGTGTATTTGGTCTTTTTCCTCTAGCAGTAAAAGTGATCGTCTAGTTAATTAATTGATAAGTTATATACCCACGTTGTGATAATATTAATTAAGGTAAATCAGGATTCGATCAAAGTTTGGTGCAAATTGACAAATAAAACATACAAATTTATATTTAAACTCTTTTATTTTTCATACTTTAAATGTGATGCAATAATTAGCAAAGTATATTACAGTTGATACTATTTACTGAGATCTCACTTGAGTCCCGTTCAAACGCTGACCATATTCATTTGCTATCAATATATATTTTATTTAGATTCATGAACAACGGAGTTAACGAACAGCATCAATTCGGCAGTTGGTTAACTACTGTGTTTATGTTTATATTCTTATTTAGTTTGATGACCAACGGAGTTAACGAACAGCGTCAATTCGCCAGTTGGTTAACTACTGTGTTGATGTTTATATTCTTGTTTAAATTGATGTCCAATTGAGTTAACGAACAGCGCCAATTCACCAGTTGGTAAACTACTGTATTGATGTTGATTTGATTCTATTCTAGATATACTTAGGTTTCATCCTCTTAGGTAAATAATTCGACGAGTATAGAGGTGATGACCAACGGAAGTAACGAACAGCGCCAATTCGCCAGTTGGTTACCTTACTATGTTGATTTCACATATACTTTGTTTCAAACCTAGTAGAACGGGTGGCTTAGCATATAGGTGTCCCCCCTTGAGCTAACGAACAGTGTATTCGCCAGTTGGTTAACTTACTGTTTCATTTTACCATATCTGTACAATTTATCCAAGATAGCACATCCCTGTATATTTCTAAAATATTGATTTTTATACTTTCTATTGAAATGACTTAACACAACCCTGTATATTTCTTAATATTGATTATTATAATTTCTATTGAAATAACTTAATTTGACCCTGTATGTTTCTTAATACTGATTTTTTTATAATTTCTACTGAATTAACTTAAATTCACCCGAAAAACAGATGGCTAACCTGTCTTTCGGGGTGAACGACTAAAGGCCATATGGTTTATTGGTTATATTGATATTTTTTGAAGAAAATATCAAGCCCTCGTCTAAACGACCCCGGTTGTATCTCAAAGAAAGTTACATAAATCTTTTGACTCGCCATTGAAAATACCGACATTAGATTACGTACTAAATTCATTTATCGTTGTGACGGCGTCGATTTAGGTACGTCACAACGTTGAGCGTCGCCTTGCATCGAGGCGCCTAGCGTCGTGATGGAGAGGAAGGTATTGAATACATTACTGCATTGGGACAGATATACGGCGGAAATATTTAGGTGGTGCGGGACGTGACGAAGGGTGTCAACAAAGATATTATGAAGGAAATATTTAGGGGCGGCAAGCGTCGAGAAGTAGAGCGATGGGACGTTGGGCGTCGGAATGAATGTAAGGTAGGAAATACTTAGATGGTGCGGAATGTGACAAACGTTCGAGACGTAGATAGGTAGGAAAGTAGGGCGTCTGGACGTTGAGCGCCGGGATGAATATAATGGTAGGAAATACTAAAGTGGTGTTAGAAGTGATATCGTTGGGACGTAGAAAGGTAGGGAAAGTAGGACGGCGAGACGTTGGGCGTCGAGAAGTTGACACCTTTGGGGAATAAGAGATATTGTAGGATAGACATCGTTTAGGAAAGGTACAGACTATATAACTGGGTACAGATAATAAAGTGATTGCTTGAATGTAAAATAAATGAATGCTTACACATCAAATGATAAAAATGAAATGAATCCGAACTCATTTGGGTTTGGCTTCTTATAGCAGTTTTAATGGATTTTTGTGACGTCTCTGTGTCTTAGTTCCCAGCAAAAAACGAATTAGGGCGGAAAGAAAAGTGGGTGGTAAATTTATTATGTGCTTTGAGAGCTTTATGTATCGAAATCGGTCTTAATATCGAAACTAGAAAGATAAGCGAGTTAAGTGTTTTAATGATGATTACTTCGTGAAAAAAAAATATGTTTTATGGTGGTTTTAGGTCGGTTTCCCAAACACTTGTACGAAATTTGGATCTTTTACGGACGTGGTTACAGATATTATTTATTAGGTGTCGTAAATAAGATTTAATTATCTGGGAGATTTTTCGTTAAATGAAGGATTTTAAATTTAATTAGAATGCACTATTATATTTAATAAATGGAATTAATAAATTATTAAGGTACCTGGGTGCGGTAGGTTACAATATACGTTCCTAAATTGTCAATAATTGTTAATGTGGCACTTTTAAAATAAAAGTTTACTATTAAAATACTACTCAGACCAATTCTTTTGTTATTAATGGAACAATTTATTATAGTTTTAATTTATTTGTTAAGCAGGCACATATATCCAAAGGCACAAATTAACAGCAGTAGTAAGCGAACTGACTTCTTCGTTGGCGGTACATCGAAATCTCTTGGTTCTTCGAAAAGGTCCAAAGCATGAACCGTTTAGGTTGGGCAAAGTGTCAAAATTAGATAACGCGAATAATTGAAATTAATAAAGAAAATTAAATCAATTCTCGAACAGTATAATTCATAACATTTATTTTAGAATGTCTATATTAATTTCTGTGAAAAGTCGTAGATATTTGCATGTTTTTGGCAGTTCTGCAGCTCTACAGCACTTATGTAGGTATACACAATTCTAGGCCTGGATTTATATTTTTTAATTCTGCATTTATTTTTGAGTTATTTAAAAAAATAATCTCTATTTTAACGGTTTCTAGAAACAGTTAAAAAAGTATCAACGTAGAATTCATCCTGCATTGCGCCATCTAGCGAAGTTACAAAGCAGAAAATATTTTTAAGAATTCTCTTCGTCGATTTAATTTTTTTTATATGTATTTAGTTAAAAATATCAAATAGGTACTTACCTGTGTCTTATCTTTCTGAAAACTGAAGATCTTCTTCTTTTACTATTAAAAATTTTGAGTGGCTCAGTAATTAAGAGTAATGACCCAAGATCTGTATTTGAATCCAACTAAGGTCGTAATAATTAATTCTAGTGCCAAGGTATGATTGTCCCTTGACAATTCAATGTTGGGTTTCAATTTAGTGCTATTTATAAAGTGGCGATGAAAAACGGTAACAAATCTTACGAAGAACATGAAGCAAAATATCCGAAAATATAAATTCTTTGAAAATAGCCAAATACATTTTTCGAAATTACCTCTATGACATAATAAAAATTATTTTTGAATACCCAAAATAAAAAAAATAATTGAAAAATTCGAGACGTTAAAATGGTGTTTCCCACCTTATGCCCCCAATGGAAAACTCTTAGCATATGGTTTACACATTTTTTGAACAAATTATGTAAAAATATTTGGGATTCTTCTTAAGTCTATATAAAAATATTTGGTCCTTTTAATCTTTAAGCCTGCCCATGTATAATTATTTGGTATCTTTACTCCTTAAGTCTGCCCATGTAAAAATGTTTGGTTCCTTTATTCCACCCATATCAAAATGTTTGATTCCTTTACCACTTAGGCCTATCTACGCAAAAATATTTGGACCCTTTACCACTTAAGTCTATGAAAGTAAAAATATTTGATTCCTTTACACTGTATGCCTGCCCGCGCAAAAATATGTTGCATTTTACTTTCACTATAATATTAATTGGCCTTCTTTCCTTTTTTATCCTAATATCAAATTCCATTATGGAGTTCGTTAAAGGTTCTGCAAAAATTATCGTTACAATATCTAAATTTATTCATATTTCATTACTTTGTTCCATCTGCCTCTGGAAAATCATTTTTGTTACCTTGTCAAAGTGGGACCGGGTATTAAAATAAAACAAACATGTACACTAACAAAACAAAGCTATATTTTAATGCTCATCATATATGTTATTTTTTACAATAAATTTACATTTATTAAATCTATATTATTTTCTGCATAGCAAAATTATGTACTGGACGTTTACAATGTTGAACAAAAAACGACAATGTCTGATTTTCTATCAACAAAACCACTCCCAATACAAAATTGTTCTATGCTCATATATTAATATATAAAAAATTATATTTTGAGATCATATTCTAAACATCACAGATGTCGAAAAATATATATTATTGTATTTAATATCTCAAAATTTTCTTAATTAAATAGAGCAGAATTGTAGAGATCTGCAACCCTGCAAATGAAGTTTGTCGCTCCAAAAAAGTCTAACCTACGAATGGCCAACTGAGCTGGAACACTCCGTATATATTTTTCATCTTTTTATTTCAAATTAAAGCTCCGGTAGTACTTTTAACAGATCACGGTTACGTAATTTTCATTATATATTTCATGTTTTTTTTTTATAACAAATTGCTGATTTTATTGTTTGTAATTTGATGGAAATAACGTGAGGTTATAATTATTTAAATGAATAAATTCATCAGACAAAAGTGACAAAAATTATTTGTTTACCAACGATAAAACAGCAATTCGTTTTTTTTTCATTTTTTTTTTAAATTTTCTTCCAGCTCAGTTTTCAGCGAAACTCGACATCTAAATTATCAAATCATAATAAAAGAGCCCTTTTCTTCCAAAATAAAGAGTGTGACTTGACAAACAAGCAGGCAAAGCTGCCATAAAATAATTCTGCAATTTTTTTTAATTATTTCTCTTTTCTTTACTAAATTTGTACTTAAATTTTCTTTGGGCTGTTATACAGATATTAATATTAAAAAAAATACTACAAAACAGACCAAGGCGTGATTTTGAAAATCAATGAATATCTTTGTAGAAAATAAAATCTCCTATTTTTTTTAAATATACGAAAAGTCAGCTACTGACAATGAATTATGATTACCTTACAAAAAAAATACAAAAAAATCTTCCAAATTTCACCGCCGTATCAATCAAAAAGGAAAACCTTTTAATATACGATTTGTACCCGATTATATCACATGTTCTACAGGGTGATTCATAAGGATTAGTGATATTTTATCAATTTTTTTTGCGAATAACTGGAGGTCAAATTTTAATACTTGTTGAGAAACAGGGAGTTAAAGTTATTAAAATAATTTAGTAATGTTGCTATATTTCAGTTTTTTTACAAATAAATTTATTTGATCCTCAGTTATTAAACTATATAGAATCGACAAGTAAAATATTACCTATTTCTTATGAATCACCCTGTATACACTAACTGGTTTGATTTTCAAAATAAATTTCAAAAATCCAAACAATCTCTTCAACCAGAATGTAGTAGCAAAAACATGTCTTTTTAACCCAAAATATCACTTGAAATGTCCATTTTTGAATAATCTGTCGATGTTTTTTATTTACAAAGTAAGATTGCACATTTTTCAACAGCAATTATTCAAAAATGTATTACCAACTGAACAATACACTCGATATTTTGTGTAATACTAAAATACACTGTATATTATGAGGTAGAAAATATGTTCTATAAAACAATGTGCTATGTAATGTGATGTAGAATCACTGGGTAAAAGTAGTAGGCTGTCTCAAAAAGTTTAATAGAGATTCAAAATTAAGTTTCAATTTCTTTTAATTCTATACACAAATTTTCGCCTTTTTTCCACTGTGCGCCATCACTTTGAGACACCCTGTATAACGTACAATTAACCGTTTAAAAAATCATTGTCAAGTTTGTATGTATCTAACCCGGAAATACAATAATTTAAAAGTAGTAACATATTATGTAAAGTCTGGTATCGATTTGCATTTTGACACACATACTAAATAGGTTTTTGTTCAAAATTCAAGGTTTTTCAAGTGATATTTTTTCGAAGATGAAGTCACGTATTTTTGTGCTGATATAAAGGAATCCAGAAAAATAAATTCGTGCTTAATGTGTTTAAATTAACAAAAATATAATACAGAGTTAATAAAATTATTGTTTGTTGGATTTTCAAGAGTTTCATGTTAATTTTGAGAAAAACATTTTTGAAATCTTCAAGAATCCGCTTCCCCCATAAAGATAAGATATAAATCTACGATCGTATTTTTATAGTCTGAGGAAATTAGACGAAAATATGGCAAAATTATGGAAACATTCACAGCAAGCTAAATTTTTATATATACATTGTGTCAAAAGAAGTATCATTTGTTACTAAAAAAGCGTCAAATTGTTTATTTCACTTTCTATGCAGAAAAAGTGATATTTATTTTTTTATATGTAATTTCTTTAATAGATTTAAATTGTTGGCGTATTTTAAAAACAAAATCTAGGAAATTTTGATGTGAATGTTTCCATAGAAATATCGTAATTTCTTTGGACTCAAATGAACTTCTAAAGAGCTTTAAAATTATAAAATTTCATTATCGGATAGATATAGATTTATATTTTCTCTTTAACTGGAATATTGTGAGTATATATAAGAGGAAAATGGAATCTTAAATGATTAGTTCAATTCAGATACAGATAAGTTATTTTTTCAACAAATTTACTTTTTGGCGCCTCCACGAAAGTAACCCAGCAACAAAATGGAAAGATTTTCGGAGATCAAAAGAAAGAAAAAACTCTAGTTTAAAAAATAAATACATATAGTCTATAAAAAGACAAACAATATATAGTACTTAAACTGTACAAAAAAATAAACTTAAAATTAATTAAATTTCTTGAAACAAAACTTAAATTGTACTTTACATAATTAATAATAGAATTTTCTTCGAGATCGAAATTTGAACAATGTGGAAGAAGGTGGGGGGGTAGGGGAGTAGTACTGAAAAGACATCCCGTATATTCATATAAGGGATGTCTCTAACTACTTAATTCTGACAGCCTGGGCAGCTTCGACGGTCTCTCTATTGACGCTATTTTTTTTGAACAATCTGATGATGATCTCTTTTTGACAGGCATGAAATCTGTAACAAAAAAAATACATTACTAAATAGAAATAACTAATCAGCAGAGGTAAAATTATTTCAACAAAATATACAGCAATGTGTGAAAAAACTTAGTTCGTTAACTACGGTTTTCAAATGATTCGCAGAATTCAAACGTGGAAGACCAACGTTTGATGACGATATTCACCTCTGTTATCGCGAAAATACTGACGCTTTAAATAATCAGCCAATAGAAACATTTTTGGATCATCGTATTGTCGGATGTCGTACTATGTTCATTTACAAGCCTAAGGCAGAGGATGATAAAAAATAGAAGGGACTTTAAAAGTTTAAAAATATCGAGCACCGTGTCGAGGCACATTAAAACTTATTATATTCAATATATTTGGATCATTCATTTCAGAGTTTAGTATTTTATATTAAAGGAAATAAATTCCAATTCTCAAATATGACAAATTTAAAAATAAAATCGAATGAAAAAAAGAAATCAAAGTCCGTACCACAGAAACATATTTCTTGCTTATAACTCATAATAAGGGGGAAACATGTCCAAGAATAATGTTCTTCTTAGAGAGCAAGTTAAGAGTGGTAAAAAAAATTTTCTATTTCTGCCATTTTCCTTTCGATATAATGCAAAAGAAATAGGTTTCAGAAGTTTCAGCGTTTCTTTTTTTCCTTTGTTTTTTAATTTAATATTAAGAATTAATTTTAAAGGTGCTTCTCAAATGCATTGTTCTTATTTATTGAAATCGGGCCAGATGCTCTTTAAAATAATAAAATATTAACAAATTTGTTTTGCATTTCTTCAATCCTACTCAAAAAAATATAAGCCTGTAAATTCCAAATAATAAAACCAAAATCTAAATAGATTGTACTAAAATAAAATATATAACGTTTTTATTGTTCTCTTGAATTTCTCTAACTTCTTACAAAAAAAATCCTAAATATTTGTAAATCTCTTCTAAGTTCATTGCAAATGACAGAGTATTCCTTACAATGAGTTGAAAAGGTATAATAGGAACATGCACATATTAAGCAATCACCGCATATCGCTCGTATGTGTTTTAAATCAAAGGAAACATGCTCCGAATATACAATTATAAAACAATGAAAATTCTCAAAATACTTCTAATTTGTCAAGAAATTAAAAAAAAACAGAATAAATGTATCTCATTTATAGTCTAAAAGGTTTTGAAGAATAATAAAAACTCTGTCGATTAAAGAAATTCTCACGTTATATTAGATAAATTATACAATTTAATTATCATTATTTTCCTCTTCTATTGACATGCAATAAATGTCAATTCGAGGTTAAATTAACGAAAAGCAGAACTTAAACCGAAGTTATCTTCGACTTAATTTTGGTACTACTTAAGTGGTACTTATGGTATTTATGTTGCAGTCGGAGAACCAAATGTGTACACTTAAAGAGTTAAGGTTCGCCTAAGAAGTAGTGTGAACGGCCCTTAATGGTTTGTCGACAAAAAATTGATTTCAAAACAGCCAAGTTAACCAAATCTATTGAGTGTTTTAAAACCCTTCCGTAAAAAAAATGAAAGAAGAAGTCAGAAAAACAGGAAAAGTTAGCTGGTTTCTCTATACTCATAATGAATTTTAAGCGAACTGATTTAGGCCAAAACCTACTCCAGTGCTTCAACACCCTCCTTCTCTTCTTGTTCTCTAAAATCATGTTTTAAGATCTCGTTTTGCATTGTTTGAAAACATAACATTGCTAACCAACTTTCAAACCGTTTGATGTGAATTAGAAAATAATAATCTTCATAGTTAGCCTTTTTATCTCTATGATCTCTATGTATAAGGCTGGTGGAGACTGAAAGGTGGCATCTAGAAACACCTTTCGGCAACTTTATCAACTAACACGACTGCTTTGGCGAGCTGAGAGGTAGTCCCTATATGAAGATGCACAATGGACCTAAGTGAACCCGCCCACCCCACCTTACACAAACAGAAGGTTGTCTTACTTAATTGTCTTGCATATTTTTCTGAGGTACTTTTCTGAACTGCTATTTTCGTTTATTTCATCTTCCAGAATCCAATTTTCAATACGTTTATAATATGCTTCTTTTATAGCACTATCTATTACTGCTGTGAACAAAAGTGGGTTCAAGTCGCATCCTTGCTTAAACCCTATTTATATCTATTTGAAATAATTACCACAATCGATAACGTTAAAAAATACTAATAAAATAAAAAAAAAAGTAAACATCGTCGTGATCTTTGTGGCTCTACTAATCCACTTCCATTTACTTTTTTGCCGGTATTTATATTTTAAAATTAACCTGCGAATACACTCATTTTACAATTTCGAACCCGTAAAAACCAGTTCTACTGCCCCATTATCGGGTTAGTAATTGCGAAAGTCACATTTAACAAAACGTTGAAATCAAAAAGTCGATAAACAAGCATTATTTGTATGACAGTGACGACGAACCTTGAAGTATTCTTATCGCCTGTTTGTGCGTTTCTCTCTCGACGTGTTATTTTGGTTTGGGACCGTTTTCGCGCCATTTTACTCCCCCTTCGTCTCCCCCCATCCCTCTTACGAGCGGAGGCCTGCTTTCAAAATGATCCGTCCCATCTCGCGCTGCGAAGTTGTATTTCGTAGTACTATTATTTCATGTTAAAAACCCAAATATGAGTCAGTGTTATCTCTGTGTCGCCGGGTATTTAAATATTGAAGAAAGAAGCGTGTAACGGATGATTGCGGGATTTTTGATAAGCAAATTGGTCCGAAAACAAAAGGTTCGAGGATAGAATTAAAAATAGGTTTTTCAATCCATCAGAGGAAAAACGGTCACTCTCAAAAATAACATTAGTTAGAGCAAACATAATTTTAAAATTTTTAGGAATTTAACTTCGATCAATATGGGAAATTTTTTAGCTTCTCCTAGCTTTTGTAACATAAATAAAGAACATTATTTGTAAAGGTACGTTTACATCTGACATTTACTGCATGATATTTATGTCTGACAGTTGTTTAGTCCAGTGTAAACACTCAAACATATATCTCAGATAGAAATTTTTGTGTATTTACACTGGAATAAACAACTGTCAGACATAAATCTCATGCAATAAATGTCAGATGTAAACGTACCTTAATAGATTTAAAACAGTATACCCAATGCTACTATAAAAACAACAATTTTGTTTATGATACAAATTATAATTATATTCGTACTTTGAATATACTAAGGTGTTTTTTATCAAGCATTACTCCATGATCATTCAGTTGAGTCCGTTTTTAAATCAAATTAGATCCATCTTTTGTTACCCAAAATGATAAATCAAAAACATTCAATAGTTGTCAACATCACCAGTTTTATTCTTTTGCATCTAGGCTTTTGGTATTTTTTCTACGTGCAATATCGCCAATCATCATTTTCGGACAGTATCCGCAATGATCCCTTCCATCACAGTATCTGCATTGTATAATTATTATTATTTTGGGATGTATGGATAGTACTAAGGATTCTTTTTAGTTTTGGTTTACTGTTTACCGATACAGCTCGCCGCTACTGCAATTCCAGAAACTTATTTATTAAAGTCTTGCAGATCGACGACAGCATCTCTTTTCATTGCTACTTCATCTCCCAGTTTAATTTAAGTATTTCAGGAAGTTTTGTCAGAAGATCTTTTAGCAGTTGCTGATTATTCATGTGCCTTACAGACTTAAATGTTCCCATAGGGCATGACCTTTATTTTGGAAACCAAAAATTCAATAATTATTTGGTCTGGCCTATTAAATCGCATTATCGACGTTTCCTGCGACTTATATTTTGCTTCGCCTTTTAGACATTTTTACAGTTTCGTTATGTTTCTGCTTGGTTGTAATTACCTAGTGAGATGGTGCTATTGAAATGGCAGAAAAAAAGTAGCCGTTCCTCTAGTTTTCCATCAAAGTAAGGGAAATCTTTATCAATAGTTTATGGGGCAATAAATGTTGCAGTGTTTGTGGTAGCATTTGAGCTTAATGCATTTATAAAAGTTTAGCAAAGTATTTTCATATCGTTATCTTATTCTTGCGGTTCATTACTATTGCATACATTAGCCTTTTCAGTACTTCAATTAATTTTTTTCCGTTTTTAAACAATTAAAATAATGTGTACTTAAACATTTCAGAAGGGGACATGTTCTTATGTCCCTGTACTCTCGTACTGCACTTGTTAACTAAAATTCATATAATACCTAGCAGCTCATTTTATAAAAAAATACTTTTCTTTTTTAGACATTTAAACTGTTCCAATACCCTGCTCTAATGCTACACTCATGATAGACGGTTCTTTTCTATTCTTTCTCCTTCTATGTTGTTTATTTTTGTATTCTCTATATTCCGATCGTGTTGGGACTTCGTGTTTCGAGTTTCAAGAGATACTCGATACCGATCATGAACCATGATTGATCTCTTACGGTCGCCTGAATACATGAATACATTTAATAGTTTTTGTAGCTCCGTAGTTCTATTGTGTGGAATTTGAATAGAATATCTAACGGCTGCAGTAAACAAAAACTTTAAACAGTGTAAATAAAATAAAGTGAGCAAATTAATTAGGCTTGAATAATTGGATCAATTCCAAAATGTTGGAAAAGTATTAGGATGTGGCTAAAAACTTTCAGAATAGTATAAAAGAAGTGTCATCCAACTTGTCTTCATCTCTACATTCCATATAAGAAGTTAATGTGACTCTTTCCAAGTATTGTAACATTTATGGCCGAAAGATTCAGGATAGTGTATACTGAAGTGGCATTCCCATTTGTCTTCCTCTCTACATTTCATAGAAGTTAATTCTTCTGTTGTATCGTTAAAAAAAAAAATATTGAAAATTTATTGATAAAAAATAACAAGAGAGTTACAAGAAGAGTGGGAATGTCTATTGCTATTTGCAAGACCTTAACATTACCTGAAGGATATTGCCCAAAAAGGAACTGAAAAACTTTCAATAACAGCATATGGTATTATTATACTCTTCACACAGTTAGTCTGAGAAGAGTATTATGCA